GCAGAAACAGATATCTGAGTTTCAGGCCATCTAGGACTACACAGTGAGACCTCATTTCAAACAACAACAACAGAACAAATTAAATAAAGAGTGGGTGAAAAGTAGGAGCAGCTAGGGTTTCTTTTGTGAACAAAGAACAGGTGTAGTGAGACTTGCATTGATATACTTATGGTCAAAGAAGTGGTGCATGTATTTCATATTCCCGAAGTGAAACAACTGCTGGACAAAATCTGGGTGATGGTCATGCGAGTAGCTGAAATGAGAGTGGGGGTAACTACCTGAAGATGATAAGATCAAAGAAGAATGAACCCAGGAAGTTGGGTCCCCATGCTAATTATTGATACTAGGTTGAATATTGAAAAGATTTGGGGTGGAGAAAAATCTGTGTGCAGGTTCTTTGAGTGAAGGGATGTGTTGGGGAGAAGGTAACTGGAAGTAAAGAAGAGCAGGAAGTGGTATGACTGCCTGGTATGAAACTTAAAGAACAGTCATTATCTCACACAAGGCCTGATGGTTAACGTTAGTTGTTAACTTGATGAAAACTAGAATCACTGGGAGTTGGACCTTAGCATGCCTGTGGGAAATTATCTTGATTATATTCTTTTTTTTTTTTTTTTTTTGGTTTTTCGAGAAAGGGTTTCTCTGTGGCTTTGGAGCCTGTCCTGGAACTAGCTCTGTAGACCAGGCTGGTCTCGAACTCACAGAGATCCGCCTGCCTCTGCCTCCCGAGTGCTGGGATTAAAGGCGTGCGCTCTTGATTATATATTTTTTTTAAATATTTATTTATTTATTATGTATACAATATTCTGTCTGTGTGTATGTCTGCAGGCCAGAAGAGGACACCAGACCTCATTACAGATGGTTGTGAGCCACCATGTGGTTGCTGGGAATTGAACTCAGGACCTTTGGAAGAGCAGGCAGTGCTCTTAACCACTGAGCCATCTCTCCAGCCCCTCTTGATTATATTTTAATTGAGGTGGGAAGACCCGCACACTGTGAGTGGCACTTTTCTGGGTGATGTAAACAGAAAAGGAACTGAGCAGCGGTAGATACTCATTGCTTTCTTCTTCCTGACCTGGACTCAATGTGATCAGATGTTTCAAGTACTTGCTGCCTTGACTTTCCTACCGACATGCACCTTTGAATTGTGAACTATGAGCTGTCCTTAAGTTGTTTTTGTTCATGACATTCTGTCATGGTAACAGGAAAAGAAACTAAAGCACAAAGTAGAGATAATCTCAAATTCTCACAGGAGAGTTAAAAAAGTCATCTACTGAACTTCCCTGAGTTGTCAACGCCTGGAAGAATACAAGGCTTCCATCTGATAGAACTCTTAACACAGTGCTCCTTAGACTCTATGATGAAGAACCAGCAAATAGTTTCCTTTATTTTCACTCTATAACAAATGGATTTTGTAGAATAAAAAGAATGACTAGAAAAATAATCTGAACAAAAAGCAATATAATAAACTCCAATTTTTCATTATTAGATTCAATGACTATTACAGCATCCTGTCAGATTGCTGAGAAGTTATACCTATTTTCACTTTCTGTACTTAACATAGATCTGTAATCAACAGTTCACAGATCAGTATTGGACTATAGATTACACTTTGAGTGGTACTAGTATGAAGAAAATATAGTTTCCTTGAAGAAAAACCATATTTGGTTAAACTTGGAAAGTAAAGGTTTTTTTGTATTTTGGTTTTATTTTATTGTTTTAAATTGAGCTATAAATTTTTCTCCCCTCCCCTCTCTTCCTCTCCCCTCCACTTCTACCCTCTCCTGTGGTCCTTATGCTCCCAATTTACTCAGGAGATCTTGTCTTTTCCTACTTCCCATGTAGATTAGTTCCATGTATGTCTCTCTTAGATGTATCTTGGTTTTAAATGAGTTTAATCAAAGTTGGCCTCCTGATTCCCCTGCTCCCATCTCTGAAGTTCTTTTTTTTTATTTTTTTCTTTTTCGAGACAGGGTTTCTCTGTGGCTTTGGAGCCTGTCCTGGAACTAGCTCTGTAGACCAGGCTGGTCTCGAACTCACAGAGATCCGCTTGCCTCTGCCTCCCGAGTGCTGGGATTAAAGGCGTGCGCCACCATCGCCCGGCCTCTGAAGTTCTGATATTACTGGTATATTAGTTACTTTTTTATTACTGTGATAAAGCACCATGACCAAAGCAACTTATGAAAGAAAGCATTGAATTGGGGCTTATAGTTCTAGAGAATCCACATTTATGATGGCAGAGAGAAGGAAGCAGCAGAAATAGCTGAGAGCTCACACTTTAAACCTTAAGCTGGAATTAGAGAGCACACTGGGGATGGTTGGAGTCTGTTAAAACCTCAAAGTCTGCCTCCAGTGACACACCTCCTCCAACAAGGCTACACCTCATCCTTCCTAAGTAGTTCCGCAGTCTGGGGGAACAAGTATCCAAATATATGAGCCTGTGGGGGTTATTATTCAAACAACCACAGAATGAATGCATGTATCACCAATCCTGGCAAGTGTTTCTTGAAGGGGGAAAACAACAAAAAGCTTTAGGGTAGTGAGGGGTAATATCTGGATTTGGCAAAAAGTAGTATCATTTACTCTGTGCCTGTCTCTTTGTTCATTGTGCTATGACTTTTATGTACATTATCTGCTTTGTAACATAAGGGGCTACTCATGGGGTTTCTGCCCAGTTTCCCACAGCCAGCAGACCCCAAAGAAAATCACACAGAGATCTCCATAAGATTATAAACTGATTGGCCCATTAGCTCAGGCTACTTATTAGCTCTTGTAACTTACATTAACCCATTATTATTATCTATTTTAGCCACATGGCTTGGTACCTTTTTCAGTGGGTTAGGTCACATCCTGCTTCTTTGGTGGTCTGGGCAGGAATGGAGGGAATTAGACTTCCTTCTTCCTAGCATTTCTCCTGTTCTCATCATCCTGCCTCTACTTCCTGTCTGGTTGACCCACCTATACTTCCTGCCTGGCCAATCAGTGTATATTTAAAACATGATTGATAGAATACAGACAGTTCTCCTGCACCACTCCTCTAACCTCTACAGAGTTGATGGTTTCCTGATTTCTTGACTTCCTACAGGTTTATAGAGTTAGAAAGATGAAAGGGACTTGATTTCAGGAAATTTGTTATGATCTTGGCTGAAATAATTTGAGCTCTACCATGTTTTTATGCACCTCGCTGTATGTGGTTAATAAAAAAATTTAAGCATTTAACCATAGCCAGAAATGATTTGAAGGGTTCTTGTCACCTTCCTTTGTAAGGGAAGTGTTTAGTATGTGAAACTACTGCCTTATGTACAAGCATACAAAATTAAATCTCTCTTAAACTTTAAAATATGAAATAACATGTGGTCATTGTAGCAAGTAGAAAATTCAAATGAAGCTGTAAAAGATTACCTAAAATTTTTCATTCATAGTTGTTGGCCATAAAATATTTCTAGTAATTTTATTTAATAAATTATCTCAGCAAATTTATAAGTTTGGGTTCTATGTTGAAATAGTGTTTTGGAGCCAGATGTGGTTGCTCACACCTTTAATCTAAGTACTAGGGAGGGACAGGCAGATGGATCTTTTTGAATTCCAGGACAGCCAGGGCAGTTGCAGAGGAACCCTGTCTTGGAAAACAAAAACAACAAAAAGAAGAAAAGAAAGAAAGAAATAGTATTTTGGATGCATAAGGCAAGATAAAATGTCATTAAAATAAGACCTGTTTTTATTATTTTGAGACAAGTTTTCCCTAGATAGCCCAGGCTGGTCTAATATTTGAGGGTAGCCAGAAACACATGATAATCCTGCCTCTGACTCCAGAATGCCAGAATGTGGAAATTAGAAGTTTGGAGTAGAACATCAGGCTCTTTTATTTATTTATTTATTTATTTATTTATTTATTTTTTGGTTTTTTCGAGACAGGGTTTCTCTGTGGTTTTGGAGCCTGTCCTGGAACTAGCTCTTGTAGACCAGGCTGGTCTCGAACTCACAGAGATCCACCTGCCTCTGCCTCCCAGGTGCTGGGATTAAAGGCGTGCGCCACCATCGCCCGGCTCTTTTATTTTTTAATGTGGCTGTTTGAAACATTTAGAATTACTTATTTGGTTTCTATATTTCTGTTCATTCACATATGAATGCTCTAGTTTTTTTCAGCTTTGATCATTCTGAACCCTAATGAAGTTTTTGTTTGTTTGTTTTTTAAAACAAGTTTCTCTGTATAACAGCTTTGGCTGTCTTAGAACTTGCTTTGTAGATCAGTCTGGCCTCGAACGTGGAGATCTGCCTTCCTGTGTCTCCTGAGTGCTGGGATTAAAAGCATATATTACCACTGCCCAACTCTAATGAAGTTTTAATGACATTTTGTCATCATTGTTTTAGACCAGTAGAATTTTGCATTAATGAAAATGTTTTGTAGTCTGCGTGATATAGTAGCTGCTAACTCCATGTGGCTGCTGAAATATAGCTAGGGTGATAAAAGTACTACTTTTAAATTTTACTTAATTTTTTTTTTTGGTTTTTCGAGACAGGGTTTCTCTGTGGCTTTGGAGCCTGTCCTGGGACTAGCTCTGTAGACCAGGCTGGTCTTGAACTCACAGAGATCCACCTGCCTCTGCCTCCCGAGTGCTGGGATTAAAGGCGTGCACCACCACCGCCCGGCTTACTTAATTTTTTTTAATTTACTTTTATATGTATGAGTGTTTTACCCACATATATGTATGTGCACCATGTGCCTTGTGCTAGTGGAGGCAAGAAGAGGAAATCATATCCCCTGGAACTGGAGTTAGAGAGGATTGTGAACTTCAGGGTGCTAGGAATCAAAAACCAGTCTTTTCGGTGTTTTGGAAGAGCAACTCTTTACTGCTGAGCGACCTCTCCAGCCCCCAATTTTACTTAATTTTAATTAATATAAATAGCCACATGTGCTATGCAGCACTCACTGTTCTAGAACTTTTAAAAGAAGAAAAAAAAATCTTACAAACCTTGGCTATTTTTTTTTTCTTTTCCAGTTGTGTTGGTGTTGAGGAGGAGAAAGCTGCTGATATCGACCTATACCATTGCCCCAACTGTGAGGTCTTACATGGACCCTCCATTAGTAAGTAGATGTTAAGAGTTTTCATCAGGAAGTGATCAAGGGGAGAAACAAATCAAAGGTAGTTTTGAAGAGCATTTGCCTTTGTGCAAATTGCCTTTGCCTGAGTGTCTCAGACATTACTGCTTACGCAAGTCCGGCATGCCTGCAGCTATTGCACTGAGAGGACAGAAGTACATAGCTTTATCTCCCTCTCTATTTAGCAACTGCCTAGAGGAAGCACACTCTCTTCCCCAGGAACTTTTCTGAGTATAAGAGAGTCTCTAATTCTAGATGCCTCCTGGGGTTTTAGATTAGAAAATAACCTATTGAGTATGGAGGCCTTTGTTCATGGAATCTTAGCTCCTGGCCATTCTAACTCATGACCTCTTGTCTTTTTCTGGTTTAGTGAAGAAACGCCGTGTGTCTTCCAAAGGGCATGATACTCACAAGGGAAAACCAGTGAAGACTGGGAGCTCTATGTTTATTCGAGAACTCCGGGGTAGGACTTTCGACAGGTGAGGACTGTTTGTCCAAAGGAATATTAAGCATCAGGGCTATGGAAAGCTGAACATATTTCCCTTCAGCTTCTCAACTGACAGTGCTTCTCTCATGTCTGGATTATCTTCTGGGCCCTGCAAAATCTCCTATGGGTGGAAACTTCTGTTTTGGTCAGTTTCTAAGTAACAGTGGCTAGAGTTTCACTTGATGTTTAGAGTACATGATGGTCTGTTTACAAAAATCTGCAGTAGTTGGGAAGCAACATTTGTCTTAGTCAATTTATAAGCATTTGAGGAATGCTAGAATTGGAAGAATTCTTTTTGTTTTCCCCGTGTATATTAATTTTATGAAGTAATGTGCTTTGTTATGACATTTCCATATGTTACAAAATGTACTTTGATCATAGTCACCTATTCAATGACCCTTTCTTATTCCCTCCCCCTTTCCTCTTCCATAGTCATAACAGTCTTCCATTTAATGTATGGAAGAATTTTTAATGATCAGCAAATTTAATTCTCTCATTGTAGAGGAGAGAAAACTTTAAAACATTCTTTTGTCTTGTATTTCTTTTTCAGCCAAAAATGTTTTCGTTTTTTTTTTTTCAATTAACCTGGGTTTATTAACAGCCAAAAATGTTTTCTTTTTTTTTTTCAATTAACCTGGGTTTATTAAAAACAAATTAAGTACTTTTTGAACAAAAACAATGAGTTGAATAAATAAATACTGTGTGGTTTTTAAATTCATTGAACTGTTTTCAGGTTTCCTGTTCTTCAAGTGTTATTTAGATTATTTTTCTAATTTATTGGTTTAAAAAAATTTAAAGGCTGTCAGTCTACCTCAGACCCCTCAGATCCGTTCTTCTACCTATGTCAGCTAATTTCTTTTACATTCTTTCAAAAATACTCTTTGTATCCACATATATGTGTTTGTGTGTCCTTTTTTATTTTTTGAAACAATGGAAACACTATGTTTTGTACATTACTTTTGTTTTTAAGCCTAAATTATATGTCTTGGACATGAAATCACAAATATATAATCCACAAATCTTACACAGATATTCTTTATTCTCATTCATGGTCATTTAGTATTTCATTGAATGGATATATATTTTATTTAACCAGTCTTTTATTGATGGCTATTTAAATTGATTTCAGTATTATACCATTACTGAGAAAGCTTCTGTAGTCAATATCTTTAGTTTTCAGTGGTAAATATTGAACCTAGGCCTTATGCATGCTAGGCAAGTACCCTACTACCGGGCTATATGCGAAGCCTCAGTGAATATCTTTGTACTTAAGTTTCTTGCTTATGTGACAAGTACAGTTGTAGATTTAACTGTGAAAGTGAAATTGTTAGGTCAAAAGAATATGCCTGAAGAATCTATAAATAGCTGGGCGGTGGTGGCGCACGCCTTTAATCCCAGCACTCGGGAGGCAGAGGCAGGTGGATCTCTGTGAGTTTGAGGCCAGCCTGGTCTAGAAGAGCTAGTTCCAGGACAGGAACCAAAAGCTACGGAGAAACCCTGTCTCGAAAATCAAAAAAAAAAAGAATCTATAAATATTCCTAGTTGTTTGCATAAAGGTTGTACAGTTTTATATACAGACATTTTGTCAAGGCTCCTGATTTTACTATATCCTGGCCAATATTTTTTTAATGTTAAACCTTTTGTTCTAATCAAAATTTAGTGAAATCTTTTTAACTTTTGCTACCTTAATTATGAAAGAGGTTGATTTTTGTATACTTATGACTCCTTTGTTTGGTTTTGGTTTTTCAAGACAAGGTTTCTCTGTTGCCCAGGAAGTTCTGGAACTCACTGTGTAGACTAGGCTGGCCTCAAACTCAGAGATCTGCCTTCCTATGCCTCCTGAGTGTAGGGGTTAAAGGTGTGTACCACCCTTGCCCGGTTATTTATGAGTCTTCTTTATTGACAGTTTTCCTTTTTTCTAAAGCATTTCTCATATTTTTATTGAGAATTTTTTTCATGTAACATATTGTGATCATGCTTTTCCCCTCTCCCAACTCCTCCCAGATTTTCCTCACTCACCTAACTCTGCACTTTTTATTTCTCTCTTTAGAAAAAAAAATACCATACTAAAACAAACAATCCCACAAGAAAATCTCTCTGTGCCCCCCGACATACACATAAAAAACACCACAAAACATTAAATCAACAAAAGACAAGACTGAAAAAAGAAAAAAAAAGCCCTAACAAAGCAATATGAAACAAAAAAATCTACAAAAATACCTTTGAATTTATTTGGTGATGGCCATCTACTGCTGGGCATGGAACCTACTCTTAAGTGTGGTTAATATACTCAGTGGGATTCCACTGAAGAAAACTAATTTATAACAGCTTTTTTCGCAGAGAGTTTTAGTTTTTAATGCAGATCAATTTATTTACTAACCATTTTAGTAGCAACTGGGTCTTATCTCTTAGATGTTTTTCCCTAGTACCTTTATGGCTTTACTTTTTGCAGTTTAATTTTTGTGCCATCTAGAACTACATAGAGAATGAAACAGATACTGAGCTTAATATGTTTGTTTCGATACGACTCATTTTCCTTTTCTTCATAGTCTATTTTTTCTTTCATTTTCTTTTTGGTTCTGGAGATTGAAATCATAGACTCAATGCAAGCTAAGTAAGTGCTCTGGTACTAATCTATACCTCCATGTATCTACTATCTTTTTTTCTATCATGTTTAGGAGTTGAGGGAAGGGAAAGAATATCATCAAAATATATTTATTTTATGAAAAATTTAAAAAAGAATTTCCATTTTATAAGTGCATGTATTGAGAAAGTGTTTATATACTGTTTTGTAAAAACTCAGTCTTTGTTCTCTTCACTAACATTTTAAATTGGATGTTGCTATTCTGAGTTAGAACAAATGAGTCAAAGTTGTTAATTATATCTTTTCTTAGGTAAGCTATTGACTAGTTTCCTTTGTTGTTCAGAAAAGAGCAGTCTGTTCACCATATATTCCCACCTCTGTCAATGACCTTGTCTCCTGCTTTGGAGAGGTCATTTCTTTCCTGGCATATGAGGTGTATGCCATTAATTGTCACCCCATATAAGACTCCCTCAGGAAGACTATGCCCTTTACGTGAGAGGCCGTTAATGCCTTTAGTGAACAAAATCTCAAAGTCAAGGTTTCTTTCCTGTGACCCACACAGCTCAGATGAAGTGATTCTGAAGCCCACAGGAAGTCAGCTAACGGTGGAATTCCTGGAAGAGAATAGTTTCAGTGTGCCTATCCTCGTCTTGAAGAAGGATGGATTGGGGATGACGCTGCCCTCTCCATCATTCACTGTGAGGGATGTGGAACACTATGTTGGTAAGACACCATAGACCCTTTTAACTATGACATTACCTGTTCTCATCAAGACTTGAGTCATACTTGATGTGGTGGCATATACTACCTTTAAGCCCAGCACCTAGAAGGCAGAGGCAGTCAGATATCTGTGAATTTGAGTTCAATCCATAGTGACTTCCAGGATAGCCAAGGCTGCATAGAGAGAGCCTGCCTCAAACATAACAGAAATAAAAGGACTCAAGACGCTTCTCTAATCCACCTTTTTATATTTGCTTTCTAGCCATCTTGAGAATATGATGTGAAGTGCCTTGCCCAGAGTCATTCTTTGGCAAGGCAGAGAGACAGACTTCTAGTCTCTTTTCCATCTTAATTTGTGTGTGTGCGCGCGTGCGTGTGAGCGCTCATAGTTAATGACAGTATTTGCTTTATTCTCTTCTATTAACAGACCAAAAAAAATTAAATTGGTCCCCCTCCCATTTTTTTAACCTGGCAAATTTTAGGTATCATATTTTCTCTGACACATGTTATTACATACTATTTATTACTGGAGCTTAAATTTGTGGGGAGAGTGGAAGAGAAGAAATAAAGAAGCATATCCATGGCCGATAGACTATATGAGAGTCCCTAACAGGCCTCCACCCAGATCTTGAGAAGAGAGTGTGATAGATTCCTATTCTTTGCTCTGAACACATAAGTATCTGAAGACAGAATTCCTGAGTATAAGACTAGGTGCTGGTGAGGTGACAAGAACTTTTTGTCCCTGAGATTGCTTGGTACTCATTTCTTTATTTTAGGTTCTGACAAAGAGATTGATGTGATTGATGTGGCCCGTCAGGCTGACTGCAAGATGAAACTCGGTGATTTTGTGAAATATTACTACAGTGGAAAGAGGGAAAAAGTCCTCAATGTCATTAGTTTGGAATTCTCTGATACCAGGTAAGAGGGGAAAGGTAACAAAAACTTTTCTAACAAAAGCCTGATTGTCTAAAACTTGTAGATATACTTGAATACTTGAATTTATATTTTGGTTTGTTTCTTCCTTTGGAGTGGGAAGGTGGTATATACTTTGTAGGGTATTGATTCAACTTTATTAATACCTAAACCAATTTGTTCTCCAGTTTTTCTTTTCTTTCCTTTCCTTTTTCTTTTTTTTTCTTTCTTTTTTTTTTTGAGACAGGGTTTCTCTGTATAGTCCTGGCTATCCTGGAACTCACATTGTAGAGCAGGGTGGCTTCGAACTCACAGAAATCTGCCTGCCTCTGCCTCCCAAGTGCTGGGATAAAAGGCATATTCGTACTACCACCACCTGACTCTCCTCCAATTTCTAACATTAACTAGATTGTACAGTATCTACTTAATTTGTCTTCTTCATTTTAGGGCATCTTTCTTTGAACTCTTTCTAGTATTTATATTTTTTGCCTCGTAACTGTCCTAACTGAAGGATAAGCCCTCAGTTTCTGGAAGTAGATTCTAAAATCTAAAAATTAAATGTAAGTAGTTTTTCTAAAGATAGGTTGCCTGTGTTTAAAAGTGAAAGGTTGTAATCTTTAAAATATTCTGTCTATACTTATATACTCAGAACTGTGGTGAATACCAAGAAATTATGGCATATCTTTTTGTTATTAGAAAACTTACTGGTGCCGGGCAGTGGTGGCGCACGCCTTTAATCTCAGCACTCGGGAGGCAGAGGCAGGCGGATCTTTGTGAGTTCGAGACCAGCCTGGTCTACAAGAGCTAGTTCCAGGATGGGCTCCAAAACCACAGAGAAACCCTGTCTCGAAAAGCCAAAAAAAAAGGGGGGGGGAAACTTACTGGTTATTGAGATAATTTTAAAAAGTTGGATTTGCAAGAAAATGCAAAAATAGTGTACAGTAAGGTCCTATGTACTTTTCAGTTTCCCACAGTGATAACATGATCATTATATTAAAACCCTTACTATAGCTTTTAAGATTAAAGAATCTAAACATATTTAAAAGCTATAGTTGCTTTATATATCACTTCATCCAGAAAGTCTGTGAGATAGCTTTGAGATATGCAGAAAAGGGGAAAAAACTGGAACACACAGAAAATAAAGCCGAGGGACTAGGTTGCATGTGGATATGTGCTATATACATGAATGCATAATTCTTTGTTTAAATAATTTGTAGAGATGGACTGCAGAGTTTTCATTTACTTTCCTGAAGGTCAAAACAAACAGGAGAGTGTATAATGTTCTAAAAGATTTATGAGTTTATATAGGATAAAAACAGCCAGATTTATGGAGCTGAGCTCCAGGAGGTTTCTGTAGTATAAGGGCTTTTCATAAAGAAGATATCAAGGTAGGGACAATGCAACTTTTATAAACTACGTGCTGAATAAGTAGACGGAAAGTGAAATGATAACTATGACAATTTAGTAGTAGAAATGAGCACATTCTACTGGGGAAGGATTTGGAGCTAGGACTTAGGAATCTGATGAAATAAGACTGAAATCAAGACTGGAGAGATGACTTAGCAGTTAAGAGCACTGGCTGCTCTTCCACAGGAACAGGTTCAATACCCAGCACCCACGTGGCAGCTCACAACTATCTATAACTCTGGTTCTAGGGGATCTGACACCTCACGTAGACATATATGCGGGCAAAATACCAATGCACATAAAATAAATGCAAATAAAAATAAATAAAATTAAAGAAAGATTTTAAAAGACTACTGATCAAATTTATAGGAATAAGTGTTATATATACCTTTGGGTTCTGTAGAGAAAATGACTTATTTGTCTTATCTGGCCAGAATATTTTATTCAGGCTTAAACTTTCAATTTTCAGTCAGTTTACATGTCTTTTCACCTTCTTTACTAGGCTCTCAAACCTTGTGGAAACACCCAAGATTGTTCGCAAGTTGTCATGGGTGGAGAACTTGTGGCCAGAGGAAAGTGTGTTTGAGAGACCCAATGTGCAGAAGTACTGCCTCATTAGTGTGCGGGATAGCTATACAGATTTTCACATTGACTTTGGTGGCACCTCAGTCTGGTACCATGTGCTTAAGGTAGGGATGAATATGACTTCTGGAGGTAACCAGATGTACCTGCCTTTCATATTCTATTTAGGTAATACTTTAACATAGTTAACTCTATCAAGGTTTGTTACTTGGAAGAGGGGCCTCTAATTTTGGTGCTTAAGCAAAAACGCTTTTGAAGGTAGGCATGGTGGCTTGGGCCTTGAATTCCAACACTTGGAGGGTTGAAGCAAGAAGGTTGCCATGAGTTAGAGATCAGCCTGAGCTACATGATAAATTTCAGATCAGCTTGAGCTAAAGCATGAGCTACTGTCTCAAAAAACCTCAAACTAAAACGAAGAACAACAAAAAATACATGGTGATGGAGGTAGGCATGCCTAAGAAGGCGCTAGGTGAGCCAGGCAGTGGTGGTGCACACCTTTAATCCCAGCATTTGGGAGGCAGAGGTAGGCAGATGTCTGTGATTTAGATGTGTGCCTAGTTGTCAGCCTGGTCTCCATAGGACAGCCAGTGCTGTTAGAGAAACCCTGCCCCCCAAAAAAACAAAAGGCCCTAGACTGCACCTCAGCACTAAAACAATACTTTTTTTGAGGTCTGGGGATTTAACTTAATGATGTAGTGCTTATTAAGCATGTGCAAGACTCTGGCTTCTTTGTTTTTCTTTTTTTTTTAAAGATTTATTTATTTATTATATATACAACATTCTGCCTCCATGTATGCCCGCACGCCAGAGGAGGGTGCCAGATCTCAGTATAGATGGTTGTGAACCACCATGTGGTTGCTGGGAATTGAACTCAGGACCTCTGGAAGAGTAGCCAGTGCTCTTAACCGCTGAGCCATCTCTCCAGCCCGCTTCTTTGTTTTTCTAGCACTGCAGAAGTAGTTGTGAATTAAAATAGATTCCTTAAGATAGTCCCAACTGTTCCCTATTTAAAGGAACTAATTTCTTTTATTTCTAATATTAGAAATTTCTAGTATTTCTATTCTACCAATATATATGAAAATGTTTGTATTTTCTTTAGAAATTCTTGATAACATGAGTTTTCTCTCCCCCAAACTTTAATATCTGTACCAAAGAATTCATTTATATGTTTGTGAATTTTGATAATTATATAGCTACTTAATGGCCACAGATAAAACATATTACAATTCTTTTCAAAGTAATAATTCCTATGATTTTCTTTTTAGTGGGTTGTTATGATTTTATAATTACTGTATGGTGGCTATAAAAGATTTTTGCAGTTAGGAATACATTTCTTAAATAATTTTGATTATTTTCACCACTGTTTATCCTGTTTAATTATCTTATCAGAAGAACCAAGGAAGGAACAGAAAATTTGCTTCATGGTTGTTATACAAAATGATCATACATCTTCAATTAGTTGTTTTTTATTGGTTTATCATGAAGAATTGGAACATGTAAATGAAAATGCTGTTATGCAAGTGCATGTTTTAATATTTTCATGGAAAAATACAAGGATAATGAGTCCTCTGTTCTTTATCCATATTCACAAATGCTTTCATTTTCTTCTTCCAAAGCAAATGAAATGACTGTATACTTTTTCTTGAGACATTTGTGGGTAGTTTTAGACATAGTGTCTCTTTTTATCTCTAATAATTTATTATATAGTTCTTAAGAACAAAAGTATTTCTTAACTAATTACAGGATAGTTATCAAAATCAGGAAATTGATATAATACTATTATTAGCCAATCTGTGAGGACTGTCAATTTTCACCAGTTGTATAGTACACATATCTATTTTTGTAACAAATATAATAGTTTTCTATATTTAAATTGGTAATATATTAGGTATTTTTTCCCCACCAAATTTTGTCTATCAGGTGATTATCCAAGCAAAACACAATTAGGAAATAAAATATTTTTCCAACAGATAATCATCTAATGAAAAATCACCTTTTAGAAGTCTTTGGGCAATTACTAAACTTTTAAAACTAATAACTTTGATTGCAGGTGTGAGAAGGAACACTGTGTAACTGGCATTTAAAGGCATATTCAGTTTTTTTCTCATCAGTAATATGGCCTTAAATTCTAGGACTAGTAGTATTGATCTTACCTATAGAGGCTATTTTTCATTTGGTATTACATCTGAAATAAGAGTAAGTATTTGGCATATATTTCTCTCGTAACTTAAACAGTTTTGATTTAAATACCTCCTTCAAGTTGTTTTCATAAGTTTGAAGAAAATTTCAGCAGTGGATAAAAAATGATATAAAAAATGGGAAATGGGTCTGGAATACTGCTATGCTTGTGAAGGATGGGAGAGCGATTTGACCCTTTGGAACATCTCTTGTCCCAGAAGGACTTTGCTTGACATCTTTGTTATGGTATCTTTTTTTTTTTTTAGGGTGAGAAGATCTTCTACCTGATCCGCCCCACAAATGCTAATCTGACTCTCTTTGAGTGTTGGAGCAGTTCCTCTAATCAGAACGAGATGTTTTTTGGTGACCAGGTGGAAAAGTGCTACAAGTGTTCTGTGAAGCAAGGACAAACACTTTTCATTCCTACAGGTCATTCTTGAGTCCCTCTAGAGGAGAGGATGGGAGGATGGGAAAGGCAGAAAGAAGGGAGATGGTGGCACTGTACCAAATCCTGCCCGTAATTTAATCTCATTATGTGAGATCTATTTTTCTCATCATCTGAGAGGTTATGAACTAGACCTCAAGAAAATTTATACGGTGGCCAGTAGGTAGTGTGGTTGTTTGTGGAGGCTGCACATGGCAGAGCAGGCAAGAGGAGGATGATTGACCTCTTTATACTGGATTGATGTAAATTGGGTATAGATAGATGGAGTCAGCCCTGTGACTCTAGGGATAGTAACTTCAAGGCTGATGTTCTAGTCAACAACGTTGAAAGACCCAGGATGTAAACATTCTTTCTTAATAGTTCATGCCTAGGTTTTTCTTCTTGAATTCTTAGGTCTCACGTAGGTCTGAATTTGTGTTTTGCTAGGCAGATGTTGTACTGAGTTATATCCTGAGCCAAGTATGTACATTATTTTTGAAGAAATAGCCCTGTTGTCTCAATTTGGGGAGAGTTGATATCTGTAATCTAATTGAGTCTTCTATGAACAAGGTATCTCTGTCCAAATTAAATGTTCCTTGATTTTTTAATCAGGATTAACATTGAATTTTCTTGAAATGTATAGTGAAAATATTTATTGAATGAGAGCATAGTGAAACACACCTGGAATCTTAGGTACTTGGGATACAGAGGCAGGAGGATTATGTTTTCAAGGCCAGCCTGGGCAATTTAGTAAAACTCCATTTAAAAACAAAACAAAATAAATATTTTAAAGATTTTGTTACTGTTTTCTGAGATAAGATCTCACTCTAAAATTCAGGCTGGCCTTGAACTCACAGAAATCTATTTGCCTCTCCCTCCCAACTGCTGGGATTAAAGGCATGAGTTACCTTGTTCAGCTAACGATAAACAAACAAATGACTGGACTTCTTTTGTGAAATTACATGGACCTGAAAAGTTGGGGAAGAGTTTTAATTTAGCATTTAATTTCTTTAACTTTATAAGGTTCTTTCTTTGCATTATCTAGCCTATGTTGCTTTTACCAGCAAAGTCATTTTGCCAGCCCCTATCCACTCCATAGAGAGGGTAAGGCCCTCCCTACTATATCTAGGCTGAAGAAGGTATCTATCCAAAGAGAATAGGTTCCCTAAAAGCCAGTACATGCAGTAGGGATAAATCCTGGTGCTGCTGCCAATGGCCCCACTGTCTGCCCCAGCCATACAACTGTCAGCCACATTCTATGATGCTATGCTGGTTCCTTTTCCTGTCTGGCTGGAGTTGGTGAGCTCCCATTAGCTCAGGTAAACTGTTTAGTGGGTGTCCCCATCATGGTCTTTCCCTCTTTGCTCATATTCTCACTCCTCTCACTCTTCAGCTGGACTTTGGGAGCTCAGCTCAGTGCTCTGCTGTGGGTCTCTGCCTCTATTTCCATCAGTTGCTGGACAAAGGTTTTGTGGTGACATTTAAGGTATTCATCAGTCTGACTACAGGACAAGTCAAGATTGGGCCCTCTCTCCACCATTGCTTAGGATCTTGCTGGCCTGGATGCCGAGAAGAGGCTCCTTTTAGGTTGAAGAACAGCAACCTTTATTTTTCCCAGAGCTAAAGCCTTTTATACCTCTACTACTTCTGTGGAGACCCACGGGCCAGAAAGAACACAAACATTCTTGTCAATTATAGACCACAAGGAGCTGGGGTCATTCTTGTGGATTCCTAGCAGTTTCTCTAGATCCAAGTTTCTTTCTAACCCCATAATGTCTCCTCAATCAAGCTATCTTTTTCTTTGCTCTCACCTCTGTCCTTCCTCCATCTGGACTATTCCATTCCCTCAAGTTCTCACCACTCCCCTTCTCCCCTCCTCTTGCCCTGCCCCCCTCCCTTCTCCCTCCACCCCCTGCTCCCAATGTTCTCAGGAGATCTTGTCTATTTCACCTTCCCAAGGGGGAAACAGTTACTTTTTTTGTTTTTCTCCCAGGCTGTTGACAACAAATTTTTTACTATGGACTTGCCTCTTTTGAGTATTATATATATATATATGTGATTGTGTTCCATAAAATGTATTGTTGTCTTTTGTTTGTTCTTTTTTCACTCAGCATAATTTCAGAGTTCATGTCACAGCATTTGTTGTCAGTTTAATAGTTTTTGAGATGGGATCTCATTTAGCCCAGGCTGGCCTGAACTTAGGTGTGTAGCTGAAGTTGGCCCTGAACTATTTATTGATTCTCCTGCCTCTACCTTCTCTGAGTGGTGAGATTACAAGTGTTTCCCCCCTGCTCTGTTTTCTCTTTAGACAGCTTCATGTGATCTTGGAATTTGCTCTGTAGTCCAGCCTCACCTCAAACTTGAAATATTTTGTCAGCTTCAAAAGTATGTGATTACAAGCATATGACACCTTACTTCACCACTTTTTTTTTGTGGCAAAACAGTCTCTCCCCCCCCCCCCACCCGTAACAGACTCTCATGTACTCATATTTGCTGTGTAGCCATGGATAATCTTGAACTTGCCTCCATCTCCTTGAGTACTATGGTTATAGTCTTGTATTACCATGCCTAATTTTTTGCATTTATGTAGTGCTAGAAATCAAATACAAGGCTTTGCTCATGCTAAGCAAAACCTCTACCAGCTACAACTGGAACTACAACTCCAGTCCCTGCAAAATAGTGTTATATTATATGAATATGCTACATATTTCCCTTTTCTTTTTTATTGATTTTATTGAGTTATACATTTTTCTCTGCTCCTCTCCATTTCCTCCCCTTCCCTTCAACCTCTCCCATGGTCCCCATGCTCCTGATTTGCTCAGGAGATCTTTGTCTTTTTCTACTTCCCATGTAGATTAGATCTATGTATGTCTTTTACAGTCCTCATTGTTATCTAAGTTCTCTGGAATTGTGATTTGTAGGCTGGTTTTCTTTGCTTTATGTTTAAGAACCACCTATGAGTGAGTATATATAATGATTATCTTTCTGGATCTGGGTTACCTCACTCAATATGGTGTTTTTAGCTCCATCCATTTGCGTGCAAATTTTAAGATGACATTATTTTTTTCTGCTGTGTAGCACTCCATTGTATAAATGTACCACATTTTCCTTATCCATTCTTTGGTAAAGGGTATTTAGGTTGTTTGCAGGTTCTGGCTATGACAGGCAATGAACATAATTGAGGACAAGTCCTTGTGGTACAATTGATAATCCTTCAGATATATACCCAAAAGTGGTATTACTGGGTCCTGAGGAAAGTTGTTTTCTAATTTTCTGAGAAATCGCCATACTGATATCCAAAGAGGCTGTACCAGCTTGTAGTCCCACCAGCAATGCAGAAGTGTTCCCTTTACCCCACATCCTCTTCAACATAAGTTGTCATCAGTATTTTTGATCTTGGCCTTTCTTAGAGGTGTAAAATGGAATCTCAGAGTTGTTTTGATTTGCATTTGTCTGATGACAAAGGATGTTGAACATTTCCTTAAGTGTCTTTCAGCCATTTTAGATTCCTCTGTTGAGAGTCCGTCCTTCCTTCCTTTCCTTTCCTTTCTTTTCCCCTTCCCCTTCCCCTTCCTTCCTTCCTTCCTTCCTTTCTTCCTTCCTTCCCTCCCACAGGGTGTCTCTGTGTAACAACCCTGGCTGTCCTGGAACTCACTCTGTAGACCAGGCTGGCCTTGATCTCACAGAGATCCGCCTGCCTCTGCCTCCCGAATTCTGGGATTAAAGGCATGTACTACCACTGCCCAGCTTACTTTTATGTGTGTGAAACACAGTAAGTTTCCTTAGAGTTTTTAACAGAAGCATATTAGGAACCTTACTAGTGGCTACACTACTGAAGAAAATCTCTGTCTTTATCAACCATTAATTGCATATAAATTTTCAAAGGGAAGGATGACCCCATGAACGCTTCATCCTTCTGTGACTGCATGTTAGAGAGCCCAATCTCGTACACAAGTAATCACAGCTGCTGTGAGTTTGAATGGGGAAAAAAGTGAACAGCCTTGTCATGCCTTGATAAACTATTCCATACTGCTCATCTGCTTCCTCCAACCACATTTTGTTTGTTTTTATTTACATTTGCATTGTTTCTATTTTCTTTTTTATCTTGGTACTGGGGATTGAATGCAAAGCCTTGTGAATGCTATGTAAGTACTCTACCACTGAGCTATTTCTACAGCCACTATTTATTTTTTTTATCCTACTTATTTTATTATTTTTTTGAGACAGGATCCCATTAAGTTGCCCAGGTTGGTACTGAGCTAACTGCATAGTCTAGTCAGGCCTCATCTTCTTGAGCAGCTGTGGTTATTGGTACATGAGGAGCGGGACTCCTTGTTTATCCCAGCCGCCCAGCTAGCTTACACACAAAATAACCACACAGAATCTGTATTAATTAAAACACTGCTTGGCCATTAGTTCTTACTAATTGGCTAACTCTTACACATTAGTTTAACCCATCTCCATTAATGGCAGTGACTTACCAGAGATTCTAACCAGTGTCCGTTTGATATGGAGGATCCATGGCTTCTCTGTCTCTGTGTCTTCCATGTCCCTTCCTCCTCCAAGCATTCAGTTCTGTTTTCTCTGTCTACCTAAGTTCCACCCTATCAACTAGGCCAAGGCAGTTTTCTTTATTCATTAACCAATGATAGCAAGGCACAAACAGAAGGAACTCCTACACCAGGTTATAATTATGTGTCAGACATCCTAGCGTGGAATAAATTTGGCTATTATGAACAATGCTACTATGAGTATTTGTGTACAAGTTATTGTGCCAGTATAGTGAATTGAATATTCCCAATGAAAAATCTGGAATCCAACCAGCCAGTGGTGATGCATGCCTTTAATCCCAACACTTGGGAGTCCAAAAGTATGTAATAGTCTGAAACCCCCAAATCATGTTTTATGAGTTTATTTTCTATGTGCAGTGTATGTACACAGTTCGCTGTGTATGCACAAGTGTATGTTGGTGTGTATGCACATGGGAATCCAGAATTTGACATCA